CCTTGAGCTGAAGAGCTGAGGGACAACACCCAGGCCCAGAGTTCAGGCCCCACAACCGGACCCAAAAAAAAAAAAAGAGAGATTCTAAGTTCTTTTTTGGGGTGGGGGGTGGTCCAGTTGTGAGGTCTGAACTCTGGGCCTGGGCACTGTCCCTCAGCTCTTCAGCTCAAGGCTAGCCCTCTCTCTACCACTTGAGTCACAATGCTACTTCCAGCTTTTTTTTTCTACTTATGTGGTGCTGAGGAATCGAACCCAGGGCCTCATGCATGCAAGGCAAACGCTCTACCACTGAGCCACCTTCTCAGCCCCAAGATTCTAAGTTTTTAAAAACATTAAAGAGAAGACCACAAACTAGTAAATTTCAGAATCCCTAATATCCTTTATTATGTACTTTTAAAATCTTTGCTTTTTAAAAGATGTTGTAATTTCCATAATAAATTAATAACTTGGGTTTTATTTCTAGATATCTAGATGATCTCAATGAAGGTGTTTATATTCAGCAAACAATAGAAACTGTGCTTCTCAATGAAGATGGAAAACAACTCCTAGTAAGTAATAGTGAGCATATAAGGTAGAAATCCAAGAAGAGGAAACTGAGCATTTTTTTTTCCTCTATAAGTCACAAATACATAGAGAACACTAGTTAAAAAGAAGCAAGTAAGGTGATAATAATCTTCTAATCTACAGGTACAAAACTGAGGTTAGAAAGTACTAAACAGCCGGGCACCTGGTGGCTCACTCCTATAATCCTAGCTACTCAGGAGTCTGAGATGTGAGGATCATGGTTCTAAGCCAGCCCGGGCAAGAAGGGCAAGAAAATCCGTGAAACTCTTATCTCCAATTAACCACCAGAGAAGTGGTGCTGTAGTTCAAGTGGTAGAATGCTAGCCTTGAGCTGAAGAGCTGAAGGACAGTGCTCCGGCCCCACGACCAACAAAAAAAAAAAGTCATAAACAGTGAATGAAATTACCAATGAATAAAAGACTGTGGATGTTATGAGCTTCTTTGCTGTAAGAATTCTATCTTCTTTACATCTTGCATCCTAGACATCTAGCCTAGAACTTCACACATAGACACACTTAATGTTTATTAAATATGTGAATGGCTTTATAATGAAGTAATATAAAGTAGTATAATGAAGTCATAATGGGATTTCATTTTTCCTAATCCAAGCAAAATACCAAAAATAGGCCAGCTGAAAGATAACCACTGTGAGTTAAAATTTATTTGGGTGTTGGGCGGCAGCGGCTCACACCTTTAATCCTAGCTACTTAGAAGGCTGAGATCTAAGGATCCAAGTTCAAATCCAGTCCAGGGAAGAGTGTCTGTGAGACTCTTATCTCCAGTTAACCACCAGAAAAACTAGAAGTGGCACTGTGACTCAAGTGGTAGAGTGCTAGCCTTGAGCTAAAGAGCTCAGGGACAGCGCCTAGGCCCATAGTTCAAGCCCCAAGACCACTAAAAAAAAAATTATTTGAGGTAAATTTTCAAAGCCTATACTGCACAGAAGTTGAGAACCCTTTATAGAAAAGTGGTATTTTCCTTAAATATAAAACTTTTAGGAAAAATGGATCAAAGTGATCTTTTTAAGTGTTGTTAACTTCATAAAAATCTGTACTTCTATGAATTTGGCCATTGTCTTTTCTCTTCCTAGTGTGAAGCACTGTACTTATATGGAGTTATGTTGCTGGTCATCGACCAAAAGATTGAAGGGGAAGTCAGAGAAAGAATGCTAGTCTCTTACTATCGATACAGGTACCCTGCCCCCTGCACTGCTCCCCTGTCCGAAGCACCTCCACACTCCTTTTGGTGGAATGTAACATGTTCTCTTATACCACCATAACTCAGTTTTTTTAAAAAAGGAATCTGAATTTTCTCTACTGAGTTTTGGAAGTCAAATATTTTTTAAGAAACATTTTCAAATATGATTCCTTGACAAACAAAAAAAGTGAAATGTGTTTTCTTTTGTCATTTTTGTGATAAAGACTGAAAATTTTTGAGTCAGGATCAGATTGACAGTGCATTCTCACCCATTTATGCATAGACACAAAAACTAGCAACAGGACTTAGCCAAGATCTCATGTTGTATGTGTCTGTATAGAACCATGAGTATTCAGGAAGTACGGTCTTGAAAAAGAGCCAGTTTTTAAAATTTCGGCACCCAGCTTAAGGTTTTCTCTATGTTTAGTGAAGGAATCAAAAACTGTTTTTTAAAAATAGTATCTGAAATAGATTCAGGGAAGAAACCATCAAAAAAAAGAAAAAGTTACTGTATGACTTTAGGATAATAATGTGAGGAGTAAAATGAAACTTTTAAGTTTGGGCCCAGTGAAAAGCAAAAGAGGCTTATCCTCAACTGAAAAGGATTGAGGACATTGTGTTCTTAGCAACACTGGCTACTGCTGTCTTATCAGCTATAATTTAACCTCAAGCTTTTACACTAGCCTGTTGGCTTTCAGCTTCATCATATATGAAGAAAGTATCTACTAGTGTATATCATTCACAGCACTTGAACTGTAAGCTGTTGTATCATCTGTATTTTAAAAAATGAAACTTGAATGACCTTGCCTACGTTTCTGGAAATACCTGGGAAAAAACAAAAGCAACAAATAATGTAAGAAAGAAGGAAAAAGAAAAGCCCACCTTTGAAAAATCAGACTTTGTCCCTCTGAATACAAACAAATCCCATGAAGAGGAAAACACCCACCAACACTGGACAATTGCCAGACTTGAGCTGAAGGAGAGTCTTACATCACCAAATATGAGGTCATCTCAAGTTGACCATTGTTTGGGTTAGTTCATTTCTCTCAGGGTTTAATTTTTCACCCTGAAAGTCACAAATATTTTTATTAGGTCACTACAGAAGGCGCAGCTTGCCAAAGGAAAGCTAGCTAATATATATGACACTTTAAATTGGTATAATGTAATGTGATTTTTTTTTTAGTTGTGAAATGTTTGTTTAGCTTTACATTATTTATCTATAATCCTGAAATCCAAAGAGCTCTGAAAAAGATATCTGCATACACACACATACCTCATTTGGCAGCCAAACCTGAACCTAAAACTATTTAGAGTCAAACCTACTCAGAACAACTAAATAGATGAGCCAATTTTTTTCCTCTACAATCACGAATGTCCATTCACCTTGGGATAGAACTCACCCCCTGCTGGAATATTGTATTGTATGTGATCTAAATATCATATTACCTTGTGACATACGGAAAATGCTGAATTCTAAAACAAATCCAGTCCCAAGGATTTGGGGAAATGGATGTTGGATCTTTACCTAGAACTAATATCTGTCTTTTAAATGGGTTTTTAAATACATAATGAACTTTAATGATACAAACTGTCAAATCTAGTTGGAATTCTTCACTTTTCTGTACTGTACTTCTGAGTTTCTAATATATAAGGTTTCTTTGTCTCTTTATTCCCATGTAAACATGACTTAGTGCGGCTCGGACTTCTGCTGATTCAAATATGGATGATATTTGTAAGCTTCTACGAAGTACAGGTTATTCTAGCCAACCAGGAGCCAAGAGACCACCCAACTATCCCGAGAGCTATTTCCAAAGGGTACCTATCAACGAAACCTTCATCAGCATGGTCATTGGTCGACTGAGATCTGATGATATTTACAATCAGGTAGGAATTAAATCTATTAGGACCTTATTAGTTTAAAGATTGAGTTCACTTTTCTCCTCAGTTACCTCTTTGTGTCTTTTCCTCAAAGAGTGAAAATTATAGTGAGAAACAATGTCATGGAAATGAGACAAACAATTAGAAAGATGTATTCTTTTAGTCATTCATTCAAGAAATTGTTATTGATTATGTGTTGGGTACCCATTCATGTATAAAGTGCTAGGGCTCTATCACTAAAGAAGGTAGGTCATGGACCCTAAACATTATGAGCTTGTAGCTTAGGAAAATAGATACCTAGTGAAGGAATTACAAGAAAACAAGCTGAGTGTTGTACAAGGGGAAGCCCAGGCTGCCAGAGAGCATGTAGCAAGGTAGGAAGATTGCCAAGGTAGGGGAACCAGGGGGCAGTCCGGGGGATAGAAAAGGCTTACACAGGGCTAAAGTACCTGCAGCATCTTAAAGTTACCTCACGTTCCTCATTCACTTACTGAGAAGAATACTGAAGAGAGTTTCCATTTGATTTCATTGTTAGGAAAATGATGTTGTTTTGTGTATTACTGTAACAGAATAAAGAATTGTGACTTTGATAACTGGGCATCATATATCATATATTCAGAACATACTTGCTCTGTATAGAACTTTAGGAAACCTATTTACTCAGTCTTTCGTGTGTATATGGAAAGCATCAATAAGAGTCTTTTGTTCTTCCTTTTTGTTTTGTTTTAACATCAGAAGCTACCTCAGGTACTAGGTCTTCATAGCAATTGTTGCCATTCATTGAGAATTTCATCTAAGCTAGCATCGTGGTGGTGATTGGGATTCATATTGCTTTCTCTGCTCAAAATAGATGCCATTATACCCATACTAGAAAAATACGTTTCATTAATTTTCACAAGGTCATACAACTAGGTAACAGAGGCATAACTGGAGTTTGGGTCTGTATGAATTCAGATCCTATGCTGTTTCCTTACTGTCTCTCATTACGATATTTGGTCTCTAACTCCAACCATTTATTGGTATCTGAGGCACTGTGTTTCTATTTTCTCCAATTCAAAAGACAGCCATTGAATTGGACTAGCAGATTCCATTGGGATGATGAAGGAGGTGAGAATTCCGAGTTGCAGAACAGTTTAAAATCAGAACAGTAAGTTGAGCTTATCAGTTCTAGGGGGTTGTCTGTGATAGGGAAGACACAAAATGGACAACTAGTAGGAGATACAGGATCAGCACTTTTTTTTTGGGGGGGGGGGTCCGGTCATGGGGCCTGAACTCCGGGCCTCAGCTCTTCAATTCAAGGCTAGCGCTCTACCACTCAAGCCACAGCGCCACTTCTGGCTTTTTTCTTTTTGCTTATGTGGTGCTGAGGAATCAAACGCAGGGAATCAGGCATGCAAGGCAAGCGCTCTACCACTGAGCCACCTTCCCAACCCTTTTTCTTTATTTTTTAGGACAAAAATCTCACTTTGTAGCATAGGCTGGCCTCAGAGTCACTGTGTACCTTAGGCTGGCGTGACCATGCCCACCTGTTTTTTTCTTTTTGCCTTCCTTTTTTTTCTTTTTTAAGATAGATCAAATGGTAGCAAAGTGAAGGGTTAAAAGAACACAGTGAGGTTAGGAATAAAAGAAGTCAATATGTCAAGGCTACAACCTGTAAATTGCACCAGGGCCAGTATGTTGACAGGTGATGGCCTCTGGGAAATGATTACGCCCTAGAACAAATGATTGGATTTAAGTATGTGGACATTCAGTGTTACCAATGCTATATTGCAGGTCTCTGCTTATCCTCTGCCAGAGCATCGAAGCACCGCCCTGGCAACTCAAGCTGCCATGTTGTACGTCATTCTCTACTTTGATCCTTCCATTCTTCACACCCATCAAGCAAAAATGAGGGAGATCGTAGACAAATACTTTCCAGATAATTGGGCAAGTACTGCTGGTTTGTTTGTTTGTTTTCAAGTAAATTTGTTACAGAATTCTTTTGGCCATTAACCCTCAGGTTATACTATTGTAAATACTTGGACAAAAAGAACACTTAGGCAAAATTACTTTGTATATTGAGAATTTATAAGTCATAACATGAAGTACTTAAACCAGTGAGTAAATTTTTTGACAAACACATTAGAATTTTCCTTGAATGGAAAACAAGCATTGAAATATATCTTGCTTTATCTGTTGAGATTACAACTGAGTTAAAGGTTTTTCTGGCTTGTTGTTTTTTTTAAATAAATCTAAGCTAGCAAAATTCATTTGCCAGTTTTTGAATAGGAATTCCCCTTCCATGATAAGGGGTTTTTTTGTTTTGTTTTGTTGTTGTTTTTTGTCAGTCGTGGAGCTTGAACTCTGGGCTTGGGTGCTGTCCCTGCACTCCTCAGCTCAAGTGTTCTACCATTTGAGCTACAGCACCACTTCTGGTTTTCTGGTGGTTTATTGGAGATAAGAGTCTCATGGACTTTCCTGCCTGGGCTCACTTTGAACTGCAATCCTCAGCTGTCAGCCTCCTGAGAAGCTTGGATTACAAGTGTGAGCCACCAGTGCCTGGCTCTATGATAAGTTTTATCTGCAAGGGGCTGGGAAGGTGGCTCAGTGGTAGAGCGCTTGCCTTGCATGCATGAGGCCCTGGGTTTGATTCCTCAGCACCACATAAGCAAAAAGAAAAAAG